CCCGAGGGGATGCCCCGGCTGGGTCCCCTGACCGCCAGAGCCCACCGGGCGAGCCCCGCTCCTCCATCCCCGCTCCTCCATCCCCGCTCCTCCATCCCCGCACCTCTATCCCGCACCTCCATCCCGGTGCGAGCTACCTCCATCCCGGGGAGTGCGGGATGGAGAGCGTTGGAGAGCGGGGATGGAGGTTGTCAGAGCAGCACCGGAGCAAAGTTGTCGCGGTGCCGCCGGCCGCCGCTGCCCGGCGCTACTCACACGAAGACCCCGAAGAGCAGCACCCGTATGCCGATCTCGATCGCCAGCTCCCGCATGGTGGGTCCCGGCTCTCCCGCAGCCCCGCAGCGCCGCCTCTCATGCCCGGGGGCAGCGGGGCAGCCTCAGGCCGGCCGGTCCGGAGCTCCGGAGCCCCTGCGGGCAGAGCCCGGCCGGGCGCAGCCCCGGCCCCGCCATCCCTCGGCCGCCGCGGCTGCCGAGCTGTGCGGGCGCGGCGCTGGAGCGGCGGAGCCGAGCGCCGGGGGAGGGTCCCGGTGACTAACGCGGTGTCCCCGCTCGGGGGGAGGGTCCCGGTGACTAACGCGGTGTCCCCGCTCGGGGGGAGGGGGCCGGGGATCCTGGGGATTTCCCTTCCCCGCCTCCCCGCCCGCCCCCGCCGCGCTGCCGAGCGGAGCCGGAGCCGCAGCCGGGCCCGTCCCGCCCGCCCCTCGGGGCCGCCCTGAGCCACCGCCGGCAGCGGGATGCTGTCCGGATGCTGTCCGGATGCTGTCCCCGCCTAACGCGGGGAAGGGGCGCCATGAGAGAGCTTTGTCTGTCCCAAGCAGCGCTCCCCATCCTTCTCTGGAGGGCCGTGAACCCATCGGTGCGAGGGGCTGACATCCCAGGGCACCCCCGCCGCACGCTGGGTTGCGGCTCCGACCGTGGGCTGGCGCTCCGGTTCTCTGGCTCGTAATGAAGCCCCGCGCTTCGAAAAGATGGAGAAAAATAAAAATTATAGATGGGGCCGGCGGGAGGGAGCATCACCTCCGCACACACAATAAATAACATCAGGTGTTCACAAAGCATTGAACCTCCGGCACGGTGTGCGGAGGGAATCGCGCACCAGACAGCCCGTGCTGCCGCTGGGCTTGGCCCATTCGCTTCATCTTTGCATAAAGGATTAACAGCGTTTGAACACGTTCTGCTGGATGTATTTATGTAACAGGCTTTTCACCTGTTCACACATCCATTTTAACCCCTTGTTAATGCAGATAACCCGGTGTGTTACCCCGGTATCCCTTGGCCAGATTCTGCATAATATGTGATATTATAGCCTAAAGATGTCATTAATTCAGTGCCTGTTCATTCCCAGAGATGAGTTTAGCTAAACATGCAGAGGTTGTGGTTATATGGGACCCCAAATTGCTGGGATGGGAGAAAGGCAGCAAAACAACCAATGACTTGGTTTACTCCTGTGATTCCTCCAATCCATCCACCATTCCTCTCAATGTCATTCTCTGAGCTGCCCAAATCCTTGTAATGTCTTACTCTACTTTTGCACAGAGTTCATTTAACTTCCTCCTGCTTTAACTTGCTAAGCATGGAGAGACTCCCGAACATCTTTAGTGTAAGGGAGTTTCAACCTTAAGTCATGGAATGCAGCAAACTAATTCACATTTAAATGTATTTAATTATCTGCTTTCGTTTGAAGGGGTATGTCCTTCAGGAAAGTGTTCATAGCTATTAATGCTGCACATAGCTGCAAAACAGCCATCAGGACTGCAGCTGGAATCCAATCCACTTTAGTAGATGATTATTGCTGGAGAATTAATGCCATAGAGGCTTTGTTAAACCTATCTGCCTAATATATGCACTGTGCATTAAAGGGAAGCCTTGAAATCTGAATTAACTACTAAGTAGTAAAACTTTTATTGACGGTGTTTTTGGAAGAACAGAGACGTAAGATTCTGTACCAAACTCATCTACAGAGAAGTACACCAGTGCTAGATTTGTTGCAAGGAGTATGACTGAAACCCAGAGAACTGGGGTGTGTGACTGGCGTTGGAGAGAGCACTAAAAATGTTATTTGAAAGAGATCTTTCTCCATTGCACATCTTATTTCGTTAATTTTCAGACAAACCTCAGTCAACTACTTCTAGTCTGGATTTTAAAAAATGTGGTTTGCTCTCAGGAAGCAAAGCTAAATTGTGAAACCTCCATATTAAACTGGTGGTGGTGGTAACCCTGGTGGATGTCACCTGCCTCTGAGGGCACTCAGTTGGTCTCCTGCTGTCAAATACTTGTACTTCCTCTGGTTTGTGCTCCCAATGACTGAATGTGTACCTCCACTCTTGATAGGTGTGCACAGGAATAAACTTTGTTTTATTAACAGGCAGAAATAGCTTCATATGTTATGTGAATCAGGCCAGTCATGAAACAAGGAGTTCTAGTTACAAATGAAACAAGATTTGTCCTGCAAGGATCTGCTTGCAGCGTTCTGGCTCTCCAACATGTATCAGCTGAGGGTGATTTATGAAGCATAAATACTTCAGACTGTTTTTTTTTTAAAACTAGACCCAGCTTGCAGCTGGCTGCTGAACAAAAACTTGCTTTGATTTCTAATATGAGCTGTAGTGGTAAATAGCAAGAAAAAGATTTTAGGCTGCATTGTGGAATTAAGCTACAACCCAGCAGCAGGTACAGCACAGCCACTGCACCACAGCACATTCTGAGATAAACCACAGTGACCCTGGGAACATCCCAGGTTTTTATTCATCCCATCCCTACATCAGGCACAGCAGGTGCCCTCAATGCTATTTCTGTTTTTGAGAGTGACTGGAGAGGGGAGAGAACTGATCCCACCCCGATGGAGGCAGCTATCGATCCTGTTAGGTGGCGAACTCGGGTTCTCAGTACTTTTCTCACAAAGATTTCTCTTTGAGCCACCTGCAGCCAACTTTCAGTCCTCGAAGAGATGTTCACAGCCAGAAAGAGCAGCACAGCTGACCTGGCTTTTCTGGAGATTACAGCCTTTTGCCAGGATGGGTGCATGCTTCTTACCCGCCTTGGGGCAAAATCTTGCAGCTCATGGTAAGGAGAGCTTAAAACAAACTGGATTTTTCTATCAAAGCAGGTAAACTTCATCCTGCCAAAAGGCTGTGGAAAATAGCAAGCTTGCAGCAGAAGGGACATGACCAAAAAACAGGTGGTAGTAGCACCTGAAACTCTGAAACCAAGCAAGAGTCTCAACACATCACATAAAAGTAGAATAATTTTGTATGTTTTAAGAAGGATTCAAAGGATGTTGAGTAAAGTTTCTGTACATTTCATAGTTCTGACACAAAATCAGGAGCAGCTTGGCAGACAACTTTCATTTTGGAGTGATTTGCACTCAGATTTTTCACAGGACATAAAACTGGGGTGGGTTCAGATCTACTGAGATCAAATACAAACATGTCTGGATGAACAACACTTCCAGTTTTTCATTGCCTGAGTCCATAGACAATCAGATGCTTAAGCAAGAACTTCTGGCCAAAGAAACACTAAAATCCAGCCTGCCATGACACCAGAGTAGCTTATTATTCTTTAAAAATTACAGTCCACTAAACAACCTACTTATTCTTTCAAAGTTATAAATGAAGGGCTATTTTAGCTATTTCTTACATTGTCTTTATTTCTATCAATATTTTTTTTTTCTTTTTACCTTTTACCACTTCTTTTCCTCTCTGAGTATTTAGGTCACAATGGGGAAAAGCCCTTTTTTCCCTTTCTTTCCTGCATGCACATTCCCTGTGCTGCACACCCAGATGCAGTGCAGAGCCCTTGGCTGTAGATTCAGCTCTAAAGGAACCCCAGAGTCACGGAGGGTTTTGTTAAAAGAAAACAGAGTCAAAACTGAGATGATTTTATTTATTCTGTACATTTCCACACAGATGCATATGGAAATGGGAATTTCCCACTATTAATTTGGCTGCTATTCCACACACATTGCTGCTGGTCTCTTCCCTATTGGTTCTCTGATGGACAACAGAAACTTCAGGCAATAAAACTCCAAAGGAATTTAAAACCTCAATCAGTATGATGCAGCCATGCACATCTTAATTGCCCTGGATATCATATTTAAACCATTTATAACAGCAAATCCTTAATGTTTCTGTTTAGTTACTGTGCTTGTGCCTGCAATTGGCTCCTGATTGTGCCTAATTAAACAGTTCTAAACATTAATGCATCAGTGAGTTTCATGGAATTGTGTCAAATATTTCATCTGGGAGTTTTTTGGGGGTGAATGTATGTGCTTGGGGCCATCTGGTGGAGCAGAACTACAATGCACTGGAGGTGCTGCTGCCATCCCGGGGCAGACTCACCTGGCCATTCCTGGCATCCCAGACATCCCTGGCATCCCATCCCTGCAGAACAGCCAGCCCTGGGCTCTCCACTATCTGCTGCCCGCAGAATTTCTCTGCTGAGCCCTGACTTGTTTCAAAATGTGTCCTTTACAACTCTTCTAGACCAAGAATTGACATCTTTTCAGCCAGCACACCACTGCTTCTAATAATCAGCATCTTGGGGAAATTTGATTAGTCTAAACAATTAAATTCATGTATACATGAAACTGAGATAAATTATTTATGAGCCAATTGACATTTGCAGCACTGGTGCTGTTAGTACTCAATATACATTGTTATGGGGTTACGGTTGTAAAAGTATTCATGCTCCCATAATAAACTTGTGATAAATCCAAGTCTTTAACCTTTACAATATTTAGTGCTCTTGTGCAGTGTTTAACAGGAGACTGTGACCTAAAGCAGACATCTGCTGTCTTTAATCTTGAGTAACGCTTCATGCCAAGATTGGCCTTATTGACTTCAATGAAATAGTTGTGTAATTACTTATTTTCTCTTTTTCTTTTTTCTATTTTTTTTTATTTTTTTGTCTTCTAAATGTAGTAGAAACTTGCCAACCATTGCTGCAGCCATTTCAAATTGTTCTTGACTTGAAAGGGAGCATAATGATGCAGGATAATTAAACAGAAGAGGTAAAGGGAAGGACAAGCTCTACATGAGTGGGGAAAAACAAAATAAAATGGCCAATTGTTTTGGACAGGAGTGAACTGCAAAACAAACAGTCCAGAGTTTGAACATGGCCTCTTGGTTTAGTGCTGGTAACAATAAAGGACTGTTTGTTCATGTTTCCCTTGGATTCTTGGAAACCACTCACCATTTCTCCTGGATTCTGTGCAATAAACAAACCAGAATTTTGAAGCTGCTCACAGCAGGAATTCATTCTAACCCAAATTTACTGGAAATAGCCCCAGGAAGGGTAAAGTAGGGGGAGACAGTGTATTAATACAGTTTCAGGCTGCATTCCCCTTCAAGCATGCCATTTGTTG